GCCCAGTATCTTACTCTAACCTCCACTGTAAATCTCTCCTCAAACTTCCCAAGCTTGCCCAACAGAGCCCCACTGTCGGTCGAGGTATTCAGAACACTCTCGCCAAACTCCTTACGTCTCTCACTTTAGTTCAGCCCATACTTCCCTCGAACTAGCTTCCCTCTTGACATATTTACAACCTTACCACGGCTCCTAAGCCACTAGATATTCACCCCCTCACCAGTTACAGACATCAGATATACTAAGGTTTCAAACAGAAAGGAAAAGAGGAAAGTGATCAAACGTAAGAAGAAAGAATAAAACAAATAAATAATTAGTTCCCGAGGCATCAACCCCTCGACCCAACCACTGGGCCACAACAGACTTCCATATTCCCCCCATCTCTGGATCACAGAACCACAACTATAACAGTTACCCACCAACAGCATATCAACGCCAATCACACACTCGGGCACCGACCCCTCGACCCAATGTTAGGCCCTTATTCCTTCACCTCTGGATCACAGAATGATAATTATTTTGATTGCCCCCAATGATATATCAACGCCAATCACGTACTCGAGCATTGCCCCCTCGACCCAACCACTGGGCCACAACAGACTCCCATATTCCCCCCATCTCTGGATCACAGAGCCACAACTATTACAATTACCCACCAACAGCATATCAACGCCAATCACACACTCGGGCACCGACCCCTCGACCCAATGTTAGGCCCTTATTCCTTCACCTCTGGATCACAGAACGATAATTATTTCAATTACCCCCAACGGCATATCAATGCCAATCGCGTACTCGGGCATTGCCCCCTCGACCCCAACCACAAGGCCACAACAGACTCCCACATTCCCCCCATCTCTGGATCACAGAACCACAACTATTTCGATTGCCCCCAACGACATGTCAATGCCAATCACACACTCGGGCACCGACCCCTCGACCCAGCATTGGGTCTGCTGTATGGAAATTCTTACACCATTTAAGCACAACAAACACATGGTTACAATAAACCTAATTACTGTAAAGTAAACATGAGCTTTAATTCGCATTAACAGTATGAGGATAACCAAGCCTGTCTAAACGACAAGCAATTATGTATATACATATCGACGCACATCCCTGTCTAAACAGTATTCACCAAGCAATTATATATATATATATATATATATCGACGCACATCTCAATTTTCCTCTTCCCCCTCTCTTCTCTTAATCGGTTCGGTTAGCCATTTTTCTTTTCTCTCTATGTCCAGGCTTCATTAATCATATAATTTTTCCCATGTTCAACAACTTTCTAAACCCATCCAATAAAAATCCCCCAGTTCCGAGCCCCTTCTCCCCAACTTTTACTCCGTTCCTCTCTTCTTTCTTCTCTGTTATTATTATCAATTTTAACACAATTATTTACGCCTCCCAGATCTTACTCCCGAATCCGTTCCGTATCACTCCGAACACAAACGAAGAAATCACAAAGAACTTAGCATATAAAATTCTACTCCAGCCGTGAAGACCAAATGATACTTACCTCTCGGATCTGTGTAACGATGATTCAACGCGATCTCTCCTTCCTCTCCCCGCGTCAACAATGGTGTTATGGTAAGTTCGCTTACTGTTCACCCTCCCCCTTCGATCTCACCGTTTCCTCTAATTATCTTTCTTTCTATCTTTTCTCGCTTTCCCCTCTCTTTCTCTCTCCAACTCCGCCACTCTCCTTCTCCACTCAAGTTTCCTCTCCCCTCTTCGTACTAAGTTCACTTACTGCGTTACAGGTGTTGGGGTTGGGCCTATGGGTGTATATACTCGTGTATATATATGGATGTATCTATATATGTACGTTAATTAACGATTGATTGCAAAAAACTAAGACAGTCATTCCCGTTATATATACACACGAGTATAAATCGATGTATACATATATATGTAT